ATGAATAAAAACTCACTCAAGCCTAGAAGATTAAGCGGCTCTAATAGCTGATAGTTGAATCTTACAAAAAACATGTAACCTAGGCGAGTTTGAAACTTGACTAGAGTTTGGATGAGAACACCCATTGAAAGGAAATAATAAGTGAATACATCTCATATATACGAATTAATCAGGCTTAATCCTTTAACGCTCTTTACAACATCTTTACCCAACTAGTCTAATATAAATAAAAATAAATAAATAAATAAAAATATATATACATTGTAAGGCATTTAGGAAAATTAAATTATATATCTAATCTCTTAAGATGACCACATTTTTTTATTTTTTTGTTATTTTATTTATATAGCTATATATATATATATATATATATATAATTTAGCTCAAGGTTTAGTACATTTCAATCCCGGTTTCAATTTAATTGAAGTTTTATATAGCCTAAAGGAGAATTGCATTTTTGCATGCATGACACAGACTTTTAATAAAAATTCACACCGTCTATTCAACTAACCAGCTCTGCCCCATGAAATCTTTGCCTCATCCTAGACTATTTACAGTATCCCACAATGTGTCCTACTCATCATGGGGCATGTAGAATAGGTCTATTCTGTGGTCTGTTAGCGCGATGTCATGATAAAGTAGGTTTCAGCTCCTCTACTCACTTTTACTCCTGCCTTTATACAGCTTCTGACGAGCTATTTCGTGGAGGACCCTCAGCAGATGTGCGAACTTTCCGATAACTTCCTGGCTGCAATCCAAAAGCGTAACTCTCGCGGTGACAAAAAGACTCGTCAGGCATTTCTACTTAACGAGTTGGGCCTGCTGCTCGACTTAATCTTTGCCAGATACCGACTAATTGAGGTCATGTGGGAATCTGATCTTCTATCCAAAATCTATTTGCAGGTCTGTTTGGAGATGGGTTTTGATGAGTTTCATCTCTTCACTCGGCCGATCCAATTTGAAGCTGCCAAGTTTAAAGCAGGCGCAGAAGAGGCGCGTCCGCCGGCTTACATTACGGCGGTTCAGGATGACGACTCGATGGTTGACAAGTGGGTTGATGCTGGAAACAATTCTATGCGCATGAATAGAAGGTTACGAGCTCATCAATAAGTTGTGGATAGGAGTATAGAGTGGTTAAAGTCATAACTCAAAATCTACTGACAGTCTAAAAAGTGACTAACTATGAATATAAATAATAGTCGATCAAAATGGCAAAATTCAGCTTTGCTCCATCGGTTATCTCACTACAAATATGCTAAAAGAAAGGCCTGAATCGCCCTGAGAATCACGACCAAATAGCTCCACAATGCCAGTCAACCTCACTCTACCTTGTCTTTCTAAATGTTTCCTCATTGAGTGCCGATTTTACTGTAATTTTTACCTCTCCTCGACCTATTTTGATTTGCTACCACTCGGTCTAAGAGCCACTGGCACCACTGGGTCACAGAGAAAATGTGATTTTCAAGGCAAGTCAAGAGTGGCCATATTATGAAACAATCTTTCTTTAAATCACTCAAAGCGACTTAAGATGACTAAGTTCCTATTCGAGAACATTCAGATAGATTAGGATTTGGCGACTATCAGTAAGATGCATAAGGTGAAGAAGGATTTTTCCATAATCATTTCAACGAATCTCATGTTTCTGCTGAATTTCACTTAGTCCTGCCTGCCAAAAGTTACTCTTATTCTTAGTGGACTGCAGTTTCTATCTCGTCTAGATCTCATCAACATTCCAAGTAAAATTCCCGAATTTGAGTCCCGCTGGGGGTACTGATGAGACCTGGGTGAGGTCTAAACTGCAGTCAACTTTAACTGGAATGGGAATACCTTCTGGAAAGCAAGGCTATGTGAGATTCAATGGAGATGTAAGGCCTATCGATATAATAGTGGGAAAAATTCTACTACTAGTCTTTCAACACATTATGTCTCTTAATTGCAAGGATTTAATGATGCCGCCGATAATCTAATTTTTCAGCTTATTCTTGATAAAGAATTTAGTCATCTCAAGTCGCTTAGGGTGGTTTAAGAACTGGTGATTTAAGAATATACCCTTCCTTTAAAAATCAAATTTGCCCTTTGACCCATTGTCGTCAGTTGATATATGGCGAAGTCAATAAATGTCGCCAGGGTATGCAGGACTCATTTCCCAATCCTGTTGTAGGTTCAGATAAAAAGTTGACGACAGATTAAAGCCACAGTACAGTTGAGTCTAAATGGGAAAACATTTGAGAAGGTAAGGCAAAGTGAAATTCAATTGAATCATGAGGCCATTTGGTCGTGATTTTCAAGGTGATTCAGGCCTTTCTTATTTCATATTTTTAGTGGAATATTCGAAAAGGAAAATTTGATGAAGAAGTTGATGAAGAAGCTGAATAGAACTGAATTGGTAGTTGAATTTGCCTATAATACAGTTTCCATTAAATTTCATATAGCCTAGCTTCCCAAGAAGTGAATCACCATTTCGACCTCGCTCAGACAGAAAGATAGGCTATGTAAAGTCTACTTGTATAATTTGGGAAAAGTCAACTGGTATTACATAATACCTTAATCAAGATAAGGTGAATATAAGGTTTTATAAGATAATATTGATAGTCCCAAAAATCTTATTATAAATAAAAAATAAGTTATATGGTCGATTGCTATAGCAAATACAGCTTTTCTTTGTCAACATTTGCTTCACAAAATTGAGAGCTTGACTTCTGCTCTGTAATTCAAGGGCACTAGTGGCAGTCTGGCGTAGTGATTAACGTGTCGAGATCACGTGCTGCATTAACACAATA